CCATCCCCTCCTCAATCTACCACGACAAGCTCGTCATGGTCGCCTGCTTCTTTGGCTGGGCCGGCAACGTCGTCCTCAACCGCACCCTGCCCTTCAACCCGGCCACCCTGCTCCCTGTCGTCGCCCTCTGCGTCCCCGCGATCCAGTACTATCTGTACCAGACGAGCGCTCTGCTGACTGCGTACTGGGGCCCCTTGGTCATGGAGGCCGTCACGCTGTTCCCTCTCATCCTCATCTCGGTGAGCTGCGTGGCGACGGAGATGGAAAAGGTGAGCCTCTCCAAGCTGCCCAAGTTCGTCGCCGACGCGGCGCCCGGGTTGGGCTCGTGGGGCCTCTTCCGGTTCGTGGAGACGCTGTCGGGCGACTACTTGCAGACCTACATCGGCCGGTCCTTCTTCCAGACGAGGATCGGCCTCGAGGCGCTGCTGGGTGCCGCCTACGCCGTCTACGCCCCGTCCAAGCTGCTGCTGTTTGCTATCCCGGCCGTCCTGCACACGGCGTTGTTGAACCCGCATGCTCTGACGCCCATGGCTGCGGCCTCGCTCAACACCACGTTGCAGGCGGATAACTGGTTTCTGCTGGATCGTAAGGAGTCTATCACGGGGTACGTCTCTGTGCTGGAGAGTATTAAGCATGAGTACCGGGTCATGAGGTGTGATCACTCATTGCTCGGTGGCGAGTGGGTGAAGCATAAGGGTCCTCGCGTCGCGGAGCCCATTTATGGTGTGTTTGTCATGTTGGAGGCCGTTCGGCTCGTCAAGACCACCAAGGCTATTCCCGACTCCGAGGCCAAGGCTCTGAACATGTAAGTTGTAGTCATTTCAGAAGTGAACTTATGGAAAATGTACTAACGACCACCAGCGGTCTCGGTATCGGCACTACGCCCGCGGCGTTGGTTGCTCACGGCGTCGACACGACGATTGTCGAGATTGACCCCGTCGTGCACGAGTTCGCCTCAAAGTACTTCCAGCTGCCGTCCAACCACACCCCAGTCATCGCCGATGCGGTAAGCTACACGCGCAAGCTCGTCGACGACCCGGACGCGCGGTTCGACTACATTGTCCACGACGTCTTCACCGGAGGCGCCGAGCCCGTGCCCCTCTTCACCCTCGAGTTCCTCCAAGGTCTCAACTCGCTCCTAAAGCCAGACGGCGCCATTGCAATTGTGAGTTTTATACTTTTGTGTTTTCCATGCCCCCCCCTCCTTGAGATTCTGAATTGCTCAACATCGAACCACAGAACTACGCCGGCGACTTCCTCCACCCAGCCCCAAAACTCATCGTCGACACAATCAGACAAGTTTTCCCCTCCTGCCGCATCTTCCGCGAGTCGGAGCACCCGACCCCGGAGAAGCTCAAAGAGGAGGGCCAGGACTTTACAAACATGGTCATCTTTTGCAAAAAGACGTCGGGCAAGCTCAAGTTCAGGGCGCCCGTGGACGACGACTTCTTGGGCAGCCGCACGCGCCGCGCGTTCCTGATGCCGGCGCACGAGGTGTTTCCCAAGCACTTTTTGCAGGGAGATTATGGCATCTTGCGGGATAATAGTACCGAGCAGCTGACCAAGTGGCACGAGAAGAGCGCGTTGGGCCATTGGGAGGTGATGAGGGTTGTGTTGCCGGATAAGATTTGGGAGCTGTGGTGATTTTGTTCCTGTTGAAGGGGGGGGGGGGGAGGGACGGATGGTTGCTTTCGCCAAAAGTCTGGATTGAGGTTAGAATGAAGAGCCAAGGTACTGTTGGAGACGAAAAGTGCTTGCTCTCTGTATATACAGTACCCCGACCTTGTGTAATTATATTGTGATGAGCTATTCCTACGCATCTGAAGTAGGCGTACTTACATGAGGCTGTGTTTTCAAGTTGTAAAATATATTGCCATCTACATTATGCTCCCTCGTGGCTCCCTTGGTCTCCTTTCAGTGTTCTGGTTAATATACCTCCGAGTCTTTTGCGTCACCCAAAACTATTCATCATTCGTCTCGGCAGAACTCACTCACCCTCACCACCCTTCTTCACAACAACCTCCTTCGCAGCCTCAAAAGCAGCCTCTCTCGTCATACCATTCGTCTCCCTCACATACTCCCCCAAATACCCAGGAACCTCCTTCACCTCATTATACGGCCCCGCAACAGGCTCCCCGAGAACCTGATACACCGGCACAACCCCCGTCCACACCCGTCCCGTAACCTCCTCGTCTTCTTTATCCCCCTTATCATCCCCGGGCGGACCTTGCCGGATCTTGGCGCTCCCTGTCGCGATGCGTACTTTAAGCACGCTCGTGGATGCCATCTCGCCCTTGTTGGGCGGGACGCGGGAGGCGGCCCAGCGGCCCGGCACGACGCCGTCTGTGATGAGTTGCATCGCGTACAGCCGCTCTGACGGGTCGGAGACGAGGGTGGCGTGGCCGTAGAGGATTGCGGAGCGGTAGTTGTAGCTGTGAGCATTGGGGGTGAGGGCTAGGACTAGGCCGTCTAGGTGGGATGCTGCTATGCAGACGGGGAGGCCTGGAGGAGGGGGAGGAGGGGGAGGGGGGGAAGCAGCATCTGGGGTGGAAGAGGAGGAGGAGGGTTGACGGGAGATGTTGATGAGGCGGGAGGAGACGTAGCCGTGGAGGTAGAGGTCTAGGACGTCGCCTTCGTCGGCTGAGGGGCGGGCGAAGGAGCCCATTTGGCCGAGCATGGGGAGGATTGTGGGGAAGGGGGAGGGGGACGGGGAGGAGGAAGGGGAAGGGTCGTTGAAGGAGACGTGGAGGATTGGGCTTGTGTTTATTATTGTGTGGATTGTGCGGAGGGCGTAGGATGCTGTGAGAGGTGTTAGTTTGATAGCTTTGTGAAGAGTTCTTGAGATGAGAGTGAGACATACCACGCGGGCTGTATCGTTTGACGGTGCCGTATGGCTCCTTTGGGTATTCGAGTTCAGTGCGAGGCATGGTTGGATATTGTCTGAGATTACTTGATGATATTGGTACGTTGGTGTTGTGAGAATGTTTGTTGACGCTTTTGGTTATTCTATTTGAGGTCGTCTGTCTGTCTCCCTTTGTATCATCCCCCCCCCCCCTTCTCCAACTTGATAACGAGAAACGCCCATCCAATGACATGACGAAGAAAAGATACGCCGTTTACGCCCGTCGTCATCCCGCGTAGACCTATTTGACTCATTGTGGGTGAACCGGGCCGGGTGAGGTTTGTTGTACCTACCTTTCGGGCCCGGCTCCGAAAGGAAGAGAAGGCATGCGGAGTGAGGTGATGGCGGGAGGAGGGGCGAAGGAGGTTAGCGGCACGGCAAGCGGCATAACCTGCACACGTTACAGTCCCACTCCAGACTGGATTGAGACTTGAGTAGGTCCATCCTGCTACGGTATGTTAGGCTCCCGCTGTCATTGACTAGTGACGTTTGGCGCGAAGGAGCTAGCGGCTATGCAAGCAGCAAGTCTTGAAGGATTACATTTACAATGGTTGTCTGTGGACGAGGCGGCGCGGAGGCGCAGAGGCGGAATTACCGGATAAGGTGTGGAGGCGCGTCCCCGGTTTGCTCTCGCCGATACGGATCACGGTTCACGGCTCTGCGGTTCTACGGTGGAATCCTCCCGCGGCCGACATTCCCGTCGTTATTTGGACATCTGAGTGTCAACCTGGAAGCATGACCCCATCCCATCGCTTGAGTCAGCGGAATAACCGTCATATTCTCCAAACCCGCCTAAAGCCTGAAAAGGCCGTTGGGAAGAAGAAACTTGAGTGATGCCTATTGATCAAAGCCCGACGGACTTGGGACTTGCGAGCCTGATCCTCGCCCCCCCCCCCCCCACCCCCAAAGGTCTCAAGTCGGCGAAGGTTATTTTCTTTTCCAGAGAACGTTTGTCCCAAACCTTGGATTACTGCCGATGCCCGAGACTGCAAAGTTTACCATCATCTGTATGTAGGTGTAAAGGAAAAAAAACAACAACGTTAGAGTTGAGGGCGGGGTAAGAATGATGGACGCCGATCACGTTCGTCTTCTGGGGCCATCAGACGGGACAAGCTCAGGACCTGAAAGTTATTTGTTGTGCTTTGGGGCGTCCCCGAGTCCTTGAGAGTTGGAAGTAATGAGTGAACCGTCGTCGAAGCAATCTTGTTCGTACCTTACGCCGTCGACCTGCAGAAGCTGTTGTGCTTATTCCTCATGCTTCACTTGTCTTTGTGGTATTCTCTCCTCAAGCCGAGGCTGCTGCGATGGTCTTTTGTGTTGTCATCATAGAGCAACTGTATGTTATTCCATAATTCCGCCTCAACGGTGGCATATCGGTAGTGATATCTTCCGGGACCCCACGGGCATCATCGTTAGAGAAAGGAAGGCTACTGCAGAGTATTTGACAGCAAGTGCACAGAGGGAACCGAGTGGAAGGAAAGTTAGGAAACAAAGGCGCATGCAGAGGCGGTAGAAACAAGTCTTGCGTTGCGTTACCTGCCAGTGCCGCCGGTGCGTACCTGCGCCGTCCCTCCCCCCCCGCATACCCGCGCAAGAGTCAAAGAGTATTGATGTCTTGGTGTCTTGATGGAGGTATCACGCCAGCGACCAGACAGTGTGATTCTTGGTTGATGATGATGGTGGTAGTGCAGGAGAAGTTGAGCGGCTGGTCGGATTCGGTAGCAGCCGAAACGCAAGACAGCTGGGCGGCCAAAGCTTGATTGATTAGCCTTTTGGACCATCCGACCTTTACTAATCAGCTGGTGCTCTCGGTCTCTGCAGCACGTAATTTCACAGATAATCTTTTGAGTTGGAATCACTGAGGTGGAATGAGAATCACTCTTCGAAGTAGTCTAGCCCTCGTGGGTAGCCCTCCGCCGTCACAGGGAAGCCCTCGTCAGGTGTCTCCACTGTAGAGGGTGCGCCAAGAAACATCGAAGCCCCTGACAAATCTCAGGGGACACTGGGAATCTCCCATTTTTCTCCCACCCACCACCACCATCCATCCTCATGACCCTCGCCTTCTTCAACACACTATTCTTGGGCACACCATCCTCACACAGAAGCAGACACCTCAGCCCTTTTCTCTTCAGTCCACCACCTTAAACTTATAGTCTGAGCGGCTGCAGACCTGCCCCTGGCGCCATCCGATTCCCTGGACTACGGCTGGCTCTCCCTTACCTTGATCTCCCGTTGCTCGACCTGATTGCTCGCTGCAGGAGTGCCTACGGCTGCTCTCGTCAATCGAATAAGAGAGTGCGAGGATAAGGACGAGGACGAGGACGAGGACGAGGTGCCTTGCCGCATGATGGAAACACATGTCACCTAGTTCATGACCGAGGATCGCTCTGCCAAAGACGATTGCTCTCCAGAGAGTAGGCGTTCGAATCCTCATGTTCCGACCCGACCAGCCAGGAGAGTTCCAGGACATATGCAGCTCCAAAGGAGGCACGCTGCACAGGGGATCGCCGTTGCGTCGAATGAACGTTCTATTCCCAGCTTCCCTTTTGCTAAGCGCAGGTTCCTGACGCGAGGAATGCACCTCAGTACCTTCTTTTCCCCCTCCCTCATGGCGAGGCCAGCGTCAAAGTTAGACGTCAATTGTCAAACAGCAAGGGCAGGCTGCGTCTGTTGCCACGTACGGCCAGCAATTGGCCGAGTCTATCCTCTGTCCAGTCTTCAGAATGTCACTTCGGTACGGAGCACTGGGCCATTGTTCGGCGAAGCGCCATTGCAAGTCTGCGGGTCAATTAGCCCCAAAGTTGAGCCTCAACTAGCCATCGCCACTCCATTGGACGATGACGGCAGGGCACAACTAGTGTGGTCAAGGTCTGCGCTGCTCTTCTAAGTTGTTTCCAGCTATTACAAGTCCAAGTCGTTCCAGACTGGTTGAGAAGAAGCCCACAAAAAAGGTCTGACGTTCCTGTTCCGATGACCAGACTAACCAAAGAACAAGAGGCGAATTGAGAAGAGGGCGGTCAGACAGACCAGACCCAAAGACCAGAAAAAGAAAAAGAAAAAAAAGTCAAGACGGATGGAATGGAATGGGGCCTCTGGCCGGCCCTGGACCCCTCCATCCCGAACATCGTAGGTTTCGACGCTGAAACAGAGTCGACGCATGCCACGGCGTCGTGGTGGATAGAACAAGGTTCTAACCCTTGTCAGCCTTGCCGCCAGCCCAATCACCGCCCCTGATCAGTGCCGGCATGAAGGACGTATCGAGAGATCTCACACAGCACCCTGCCCACGGCCGGTTTGAGACCCTCTTCCCTCCTACACTGCTCTGTCGAGTTTACTGTGGAATCCGCACCTTTTTCCAAGTATCCCATTTTTGCACCTCGACTCTTCAGAGGACCAGACATCATTTCAACCGATTCTGGCCCTGGGATTGGCTTAGACCATCCGCTGAGGTAACATCTGGCCGGATCCTCCAGGACCCTATACCGAGAATAACCTTGGAAATAGGCTACCACAGTACGCCCGTTCTATGAGACGACGCCTGATACTTCGTACTCAGGCTACAATCTGCTGGTACTGCTGGTATCCTCTGTGCCCCCCCCCGTCTTGCTCTCCCCTCTGGTGCGTCCCCGAAGAGTATCGAGAGAACAGCCGCCTCTGCTTGTCCTACCGCGCGCCCTCACACATCTCCGTCCTGTCATCCTTCATACCATCTATCTGCCACTTCGTGTACATCGTGGGGCATCTTTCCTGTCATGTTCCTTTTGTTTTGATTGTGGAATACTACGATAGTACGAAGGCATTCTCACCATGATTCGTTTCCTTCACTAAGACTTTTCTTTCCTTCAACATTCCCCATTGACTGGGTTTCTTCGAACCTATTCCCGGCCGGCCCGCGGCCCCGACAAACGAAATGTTCATTCCAGGAATTGTTCAGGCCTTGGCCTCGGCCCTTACCTTGTCAGTTGCCCGTCATCACCTCCATCCATCGTCGACGATAGGGAAAGCTGGGAGCCTCGAGGTGGAGAAGAGGCGTGAAGAAATGATTACGAGGCCGTGGGAGACGACGGAAGAGAGGAGGGAATCGTGAAGACGGAGGAAGAACATTTGCGCTAACTATTCTGGCAAACAGTGGAATCGTCATCCAAGCCGCGACCCCCGCCGTCTTTCCTTTAGCAAAGGGCCATGGCTCAAAGATCTTTCGGGACGGCCTGAGGCTGGTCCTCATCACATTCCTTGTATCATCGGCCCTGTGGGCTCAAACAGACTTCACCGGCCTCACACTCAATCCAACCTCGACTGCCGGATGTCAAGTCACCGTAATTTTTACTACCATCTTCGATCAACTCGCCCGATTCGCCATCGAGCAGTTTCTACTATGGGCCATCAACGCGAACGCGAGAGCGCCGGCGAGCGCCATGGTCTACCAAGCGGTCCTCGGCGTGCGATTTATTCTGGGCGCCGTCTTTGTTGGGTTCCAAAAGGCTCAGATTGCCACCGTCTGTGTAGCCAGGAATGATCTTCTGGCTATCGGTGCCACCGTCATAGTCACAGACTTCGCCGTGATTGCCGCGCTCGCCTTCAGAGCCAACTCGATTGGCATCACGAGCGTGCAAGTGAAGAAGGCCATCTTCTGGACCATTGGCGCCCTCGCCCTCTGGACGGCGGTATGTTCTACATGCTATTGCTTTGGCATATCATAGTACTAATCACGTGGAATCTTGATAGACCAGTATCCCAATGCTTCTGGGCATAGACACTATTGAGCTGATCTTCAGAACTGGTCTCCCCGCCACTGGCCTGTCAATCCTCCTCAGTACGTGGGGAAGCCTTCGACTCGCTGCGCCAAATCCGCTAACACTTACTTCCCAGGCATCCTTACAGGCTATCTCGGAATCTTGCTGCCCCCTCGCCCAAAGCAAGAAGTTCACCCGGATGCCCAGTCCCCGCGAAACATCAGTCCCAGCAGAGACATCTCAACTTCAGATACCGACTATCCGCCGTCGCGATACGAGGACCTCAAGGGAGGCACGATTACGACTGTCACGGCATTCAACCAGCCTGTTGATTTTGGTGAAGGTGGCATCGCTCTGCCTACCATACCTAGCATCGCCCCGGGTCAGGCATCTACTGGTGTTGGCGGTGTTCCCGTGCACGGCCAGCTCTTCCCACCGATTCGGGCCCAGACGGCTCCTCCCAGGCAAAGCAGGAGCATGGACGCAAGGCCTAACATCATGAAGGGACGGAGTATCTTTGACAAGATTGGACCAGGTTCGAACATCAAGAACGCCATTTCCAACCCGATCCTCCAGGACAGCGGAGAGCAGAACCCCCTGAGTAAGATCGCCACCATTGACCTAGCCACGGCTGCCAAGAATGATAGGGAGAAGAGGGGCAACGATATGACGTTGATGCAAAGGAATTCGAGTTTCAACGCGCAGCGCCCGGCTCCTAAGCCCCCAGCGATTACTCCGGAAGGGGCTCTCAAGCGTGCTCAGAGTGGCAAGAGGAAGGAAATCGGTCTGAAATCGCCTCCCGCGAAACCGCAGCGACTCAGGTCGGTTGGGCTCATGTCGAACCCTCCCGCAACGACTTCGTCCGCCCAGCTTTCTCCCGGCGTGGAGGAAATCAGACGCAGATCGCCTAGGCAGATGCCAGAGACCCTCCAGGAGCTGGAGAACGAGAATAGACCGGCCACGCCCCCGCAAACCGCACCCGTGAGCAGCATCTCTCCGCCTCGTCCGCAACGGCCGGAAAGGCCCCTGAGCCCATTTAAGACGATGGACAGATCGGCTAGCCAACGCACCGTGGAGAGGACTATGAGCGTGAAAACGCAAAAGACCCTCGATCGTTCCGTGAGCCAGAAATCCTCCACCGCGACCGAATTTACGATTGCTTCACCGCCCCTTGGCCTTGTTCCTCCGCCTCCACCCAAGAGCGCCGCTCGTTTGATGTCGCCCACAAAGATGCCGGATCTGCCACCCACCTGGCCCATCCAGACCGCTGTTGATCCGACAATTCGTCCCTCCAGGCAAAAGCCTCTTTCGCCCAAAACGCCTGGTGGCAGCAGTCTGCAGCGAAGGACGACAGGTGGTCTGCCGTCAAACCCGAGGGCTATAGCTATGAGGCTTTTGCCCAAGGACGCGGTTCAACAAGAGCATACTGTCATGTTCGTGAACAAGATCCAGTACAACGACCCGACAGCAGTGCAAAGCATCATCGAGGGAGCTTCGAACCAGGCTGCGAAGACGCCTCTTATTTCTCCTGGGCCAGGGCTCAAGTCATCAGGATCCGTCGTTCATAGACCTCGCCCGATCCCGAGACAGCAGGGCAAGGACCGTCAAATCTTCCCAGCGGAGAACTCCCCCAATCACAGGAGGAGTAAGTCAGGTGGTTCCATCATGAGCAGGAAATCTATTCTGCTGTCGAATCCTGGAAGCCCGACTCAGCTGCCGCCTTTGCCGCCACCGCCGAAGAGCGCCGGTAACCATCCTGTACGCGCGCTGCCAAATGACACCAAGAGCATGACTTTCGACGAGAAGATGGACCTTTTCTTCCCTGGAGGTCTTGGCAACTCTGAGGCGGGCGTTCAGCCCAGGACTCCTGTTCCCGAGATGCCCATGGTTCCTCTGGCCTTCAAGCCTGCGAGCAACTCAGGCGGTGGTGACGAGAGAGATGCGTGGGGTTCGGGCAGCAGCCGCGACCAGTCCAAGCAGTCCGATCGCTCGACCAAGACGTCCATTCGAACTCAAAGCATTCTTGACATCGAAGAGTCAGTCAGGCCAGATCTGCCCCGCAACACGTCCAAATTCAGCGTTGATACCTCCGTCATTACTGGAAGACCTGACGAGCACGACTCTTGGATTCCTGCACTACCTGTCAACGACATCACGGAGATCAAGCGAGCATACGATGGAGCGAAGCGCCAGTCATCACCTGTCATTCCGGTCCGCAACCCTAGTCTCTCCGAGTTCAGCGAGACGAGGACGGTCAGGACTCGCGACGAAGAGACCACGACAAACTGGGGATCCATCCACTCACCTGTCGCACCGGTGAACATCCAAGAGGCTACGCACATGCCGAAGCCGACGTGGATCCAGCCGCGTGACCTGTCCATGATCAGCCACAATGACGGCAAGGAGGTTATGACAATCATGCTCGACGCATCTGTTGAGCATGAGAGAGACGTGGAAGCCCCGCAAGAGGCCCGCGAAAGCCCTGTCGACCTTCCAGAGGTGAGCCTCTCAAACAGAGGCGCTCGCTGGCATCGCCGCATTGGCGACGAGAGCATCACATTCACAGAGCGCAAGGAGCCAGTGCAGTCGCGCAGACAGCCTCCTCCGAGGGCTCTCCAGCTCAGATCTCCCGTCAAGAAGAATGCGATCGTGATGCACGCGGCGGAACCTTCTCCGTTGGAGTCGCCGCAGCATGCGTACGAGATGATTCAAGCGCAGCTCAAGAAACTGGAACAGCCGAGCCGAGACTCGTACGAGAGCCAGGGACAGAGGATCCGTCTTCTGGAGTCTCTGGAGGCCGAAATGGGCCAGCAAGAGAACCAATGGCACGAGATGCATCATGGTCTCAGCCGGGACTCCATGTCGACAGTTGGGACGACTTCCGTCCGCAACTCGCAACACGAATCTGCAATTGTCAATTCGCGAAGCCTTGCCCAGATTGACGAGTCGCTCCAAGAGATCCCCCAGCGCAACAACATTGCGTTAGACCGGCGCAATTCCCGCCGCGCTCGGATGGGCAGCATGAGCAAGTCGTCGTCTGAAGATCTGGGGACGCTAAGCGCCTCTTCCCTCTCTTCTGACGGCACCAACAACAATCGCACCAGTCTCTGGCAACAGCGACTTGCGGATGCTCAAACAGAATATATGGAGAACGCTTCCGAACTATTGGCAAAACGAAATCTCAATTTCTTGTCTGTCTCAAAAGCGCCCTTGAGTGCGACTGCTGCGGCGTTGCAGCTGGGCAGTCCTACCCCACCGGACACCGACGAGGAGTCCGACGGCGGTGACGGTGTCAACGCTCAGATACTCGCGAGGCTCATGCCGAACGAGCGAGCTCCCGCACCCCCGGAATGTCTGTGGAAGCCCGACTCGCCAGTTTATTTTGAGCGCGAACTACCGCTGCTTTGGGCTCCTGCCGCAAACCATGGCGTCGCGACTAAAGTTACTTCCCACCCAAGCGACACCTTACCTGGTATCTCCGTTCGCCCTGCGACACGCAAGGTCTCCGATCCCCTAGACATCGTGAGCTCGCAACTTTGGCAGCCCGATCACACTGCTGCTAAAAAGCTACGGCCCACCTCCGGACTTTGGCGCGTTTCTTGGAGCCCTGAGCCCGTCAAGGATAACTTCCAACAGCCCCAGCGTCCCCTGACCCAACGTCCACCAAGACGTAGCAAGCGTGTCACACTGTTGCCCGATATTCTTGAGAGCCCGCAACCCCTTCCTGATAAGAGAGATACGCTCGGTATCTTCCAGTTCCCCTGGGGCGAGAAGTCGGACACCGCCACCGTCCAACCGCGCGGGCCAAGTCATATGTTTATGGCCATGCCCGGTACTATGTCAACTGGTGGACCTGCAGTACGTGCCGCATTAGAAGCTCGCGCAAAGCAACTCGAAGCTCAAGAATACTCCTCTTCCTTCTTTGACGACTACGACGACGAGGAAGAAGGTGACGACGAAGTCTCTGATATCGGTGAGGACGACGACAGTGACGACGGCTTCGACGAGACCACCCTCTGGGAAATCGCCAGTCTCCTCCAGTCGGACCAGGTGCCATCCAAGAACAGCCTGCTCCCTCAACCCATCACATACCGCCCAGAGTCCTTCGCCGAGGAGTACATCTCTGAGCGCTCTCAATCAGAGTACGAAGACTCTGAGGAGGAAAAGACAGCCGAGGGCGACGACGATACCAAGCACGACTCCATGGTCATCACCATCGCCGCCGAGGAGCTCCCCTCCTCGCCGGAACACGTCTCTCTTCTTTGGGCACCCAAGCCAAAGCAGTTCATCAGCCGCCGCACCTCAACAGGTCTCCCGCAACCCGACGCCCGCGTCTGGGGAAGCTACCTCGACAAGATGAGCGCCCCCGCCCGCGCCCGCGAGCGTCTCCCAGAGCCCGCCGTCATCTACAGCACTTCTCTTTGGACCCCCCCGCCTGCGAAGACGCAAAAGGTGGCCAAGTCAAACACTCCCCTCTGGAGCAAGCCGCAGCAGCGCAAGAGTAAGACGGCGACAACCATGTGGGCTGCCCGGCCCGCGGTCGTCTACACCGAGTCCACTGGCCTGTTCAACCCCAGCCACAAGCGCGCGTGCTTCAGGACAACCTCTGCTCTCCCCGTCGGCCTCGGCATGCCCTCCGCCGCCCGCATGACGTCCGAGGAGCTTCCCCAGCTCGAGTCGTTCAGCCTCTGGGCCCCTACGCCCGCAGAGACCCGCGTCGAGGACTGGATGTCCCTCGCCGTGAGACCCAGCTCCCGCGCCTCATCCGGCCGCTCCACCCCGTCTCTGGACACCGCATCAACAAGGTCCGATGACGAGGAAGCCGTGTCGGACTTTGAGCCGCTCCCCGACGTCCCCGTCAAGCAGCCCACGTGGTGGGATTCCCTCAAGTCCCAAATGTCTGCGGCCCAGCCACAGCCCTCTACCCAGCCTGAGCCCCTTCGCCGAACAACAGCGACGTCAGCGCAGTGGGAAGCCGCCCTGAACGAGGCCATCGGCGCGATCCCCGCCCCTCGTCTCGTCCGCAAGGCGTCCACCCCGTCAGAGTGGGCAGAGGCCCTCAACCGCGCCGTTGTCTCGTCCTCCTTCAACGCAGCGACATCTCACCCGGCCCTCGCAGGCTCCGTGACGACAACAACCGTCTGCGACCCAGCCATCGCAAACCCAATCTTCTTCGCTGCCGCCGCCGCCGCCGTCGTCCCAGCACGCCCGGCTTCTTCTACCAAGACCCTCTGGGCCGCCCCCGTCGTCACGATCCCCAAAGACACGGGAATCATGTGGATCCCGCCCACCAAGCCCCGCCGCCACGCGCACGACACGACGCCCATGCAGCCCGAGGACCCTGAATCCCGCCGCCTGCGCATCAAGCGCGCCAAGAACGGGCCCACGAGCACCGACCCGTCCACGTTTGGCCTCGTCAACTTTGAGGGACAAGCCATGTGGAACGACGTTTACGGCGCCGAGTTGAGGAGCAGGAACGTTACACCTTTGGGCGGTGGACGGTACTGGATTGCAGAGGAGGAGGATGTGGCTCAGCAGTCTGTGGAGGAAGAGCTGATTATTCAGTTTGGGTGAGAGATGAACGGTGGCGATGGACAAAGACTGGAAAAGAAGTCCCTAGGATTACAGATCAGAGATGATTAAGGGAAGAAATTCGGTGACGATGTACGAAGAAAATCAGTGGTCCCTTTACATAGCGTTTTTGTTTCTCGAGGTTGTGGGAAATTCCCTTCCTTTTCCCCCCGTTGACTTGCAAAGTCACACCCACACTCAAACAGTGTATCGTTTTCTTTTTCTAGTAGCCAAAAAAAAAACAGCTTCAAGTATTATCAAATTCCCTTTTCCAAGTATGAACTGTGTGTTCTGGTTGTCATGTTTTGTGCTATAAACCCCCTTATCCCTAGATTAATTTTGACCCTTCCCTAACGTGAGACTGATATTGCCTCTGTAAGCGTCAGGGGAGAATTATTACACTACAGAGAAAACCAGTAGATAGAAGTAGAGAACGTCCTACGGAAAGATCCATCAATGCCTCATGTTTGTGTGTTGCCACTCGGAAGTAAGCCGCCCACTTACACGCTTTCCGGTTCATC